CCAAATGTACGTTATTGATGACCTGGGTTACGAAGCAGTCCTGGGAAGAGATTTTCTTGAAGAGAAAGGAGCTGTCATAGATTTCCGAGACCGTACAGTTCAGCTCACTGACAACACACCCCTGGAATGTTTACCAACCACCCAAGTAGTCCGTGCAGTAGCTACCTATGTCATACCACCGCAAACAGAAACGATTTTACCCGCCAAGATAGAGCAAGGAACAGACTCTGAGGGAACAGGAATGATAGAGCCAAGCCCTCAACTTATTCAGAAATATTGTATCCAAGGAGCCGCTATCCTTGCTAACCCAACTGCAGATGGGGACGTTCCCTTCCGTGTTATAAATCCCACGGCCAAGCCAGTTGTTATCAACGAAGGGACAACATTGGGTGCCTTCACCTCCATAGACGATATCAGCCACATTGAGAATCACGATAGCAGCCCTCCCACTGCCGACATACCAGACCCAGGTGACGTGGCTTCACATGTTGATCTTTCTAATTCAAAGTTGACCGCTGACCAACGGAAAGCCATAAAAGATCTCCTTGCCAAGTACCGAGATGTCTTCGCACTCACTCCTGATGAGCTAGGACGCACAGGCATTATTAAATACACCATAGACACCGGAGACTCTGCACCAATCCGCTCACGGCCATACCGCATCCCAGAAGCGAAGAAAGCTACAGTAGACCAGCATAATGACGACATGCTAGCCCGAGGAATTATCCGTGAGTCCATCAGTCCCTGGGCAGCACCGATTGTCCTCGTGAGTAAGAAAGATGGCGAAGACCGTTTCTGCGTAGATTATCGCCGTCTGAACGCTGTAACCAAAAAAGATTCTTTTCCGCTTCCACGAATTGACTCCACGTTAGATGCACTGAGCGGAATGAGCCTGCTGTCCACATTGGATCTTGCCAGCGGTTATTGGCAATGCGAGTTAGAAGAAGTTTCGAAAGAGAAAACTGCTTTCATTTCGCACCGAGGACTCTTTGAATTTGAGGTGCTCCCGTTTGGAGTCGTGAATGGACCAAATTATTTCCAGCGGTTAATGGAGTGCATTCTTCGCGGGTTAACGTATGAGACATGCCTTATCTACCTTGATGACGTCATCATATTCTCCCGCAATTTTGAAGAACATCTCCAACGTTTGGAAGAGGTTTTCTGCGTTTTCGCAACGCCAATATAAAACTGAAACCAAGCAAGTGCCACTTTTGTGTCGATCAAGTCAACTACCTTGGCCATGTTGTGTCTGCCGCCGGTGTCCGGCCTGATCCAAAGAAAATTAGTGCTGTTAAAGACTTCCCAGCCCCACGCAACGTCAAACAAGTCCGTTCATTTTTGGGCCTTTGTAACTATTACCGCAAGTTTGTTCGTAACTTTGCCAAGATCGCTGAACGGCTGAACAAACTCACCAGGTTAAATACTCCATTCGTTTGGGACGAGAGCTGCCAAATTGCCTTCGACACGCTGAAAACAGCCCTGACTGAAGCTCCGATCCTCGCTTATCCCGATTTCACCCTCAGATTTGACTTATATGTTGATGCGTCCGATGAAGGGATTGGTATGGTACTAGGCCAACGTCAGGAAGGAAAGGAACGAGTTATCGCCTATGCTGGAAGAAGCTTAAACCCCGCCGAAAGAAACTACAGTGTAACAGAACGCGAAGGCCTCGCCGTTGTTGAAGGAATTAAACATTTCCAAAGCTACTTATATGGCAGATAACTTACCATTTACACTGATCACAACGCTCTTAAGTGGTAAATGACACTCAAGGAACCGACTGGTAGGCTCGCTCGTTGGAGCGTTCTCCTACAGCAGTATGATTTTGAGATAAAGCATCGCGCTGGTACTACTAATGGAAACGCGGATGCGTTGTCAAGACGACCATATCCCCTAGTAGCCGCCTATGACCAGCCCGGAGTGCAGACCACCCGTATTCATGACCTCCAACGCCGAGACCCTCCGCTTGCTGATATAATTGACTACTTGGAATATGACATCCTACCGACACATAATCAGTCTGCTAAAGCTCTTCTCCACACTATAGATGACTACTATCTCGATCAGGACGGATTACTATGCAATATCTGGACCCCAGGAAAAGGACGCCTGACCACACCTCGCTCTCAACTGGTAGTTCCTACCGCTTTGCGCCATGAAATCCTGCTATCCGTCCATGATAGCCCCCTAGGAGGAGGTCACTTAGGCGTCCACAAGACCTATGAAAAGGTCCGCGAAAGGTATTATTGGCGTGGCCTCTTCGCCGACGTCCAACACTGGTGCACGAGCTGCGTTCATTGTGCTATGAAAAAGTCGCCTAAAAACCGTCCCAAGGCACCCCTGCTGCCCATACCTGTAGAGGGTCCATTTGACATGATAGGAGTCGATGCAGTGGGCCCTTTTCCAGTCGCAAAATCTGGCAACAGATACCTCATTGTTTTTACAGATTACTTAACCAAGTGGCCTAAGTGTTTTGCAGTCCCTACCATTGACGCTCCCGTTGTTGCTGACCTCTTTGTTAACGAAATTATTGGACGTCATGGTGCACCACGCAAGCTCCTGTCGGATAGGGGTACAAATTTCCTGTCCAAACTTATCCGTGAAGTCTGCCTTCTGGTTAACACAGAGAAAGTCAACACCACCGCTTTTCACCCCCAGTGCGATGGCCTAACAGAACGTTTTAATCAGACTCTGGTTCATACCTTGTCTCAATATGTTTCCGCATCCCAGGATGATTGGGATCGCCATATCCCAGCAGCCCTCTTCGCTTACAGGACCAGCCCCAACGAAATTATAGGAGAAAGTCCGTTCATGCTACTCTATGGCCGCAACCCACGACTCCCTTGTGATGTCAGCCTCCTTAAAGCAGGCGATGTTTCAGCTTCTATCCGCAACCATCGCTCCCGTATTGTCCAAGATATTGAAGAAGTTCAAAGCCTCGCTAAAATTAACATTCAACGCGCGCAACAGAGAATGAAGGATTACCACGACCGTGATGCTATTCCCACGTCGTATGATATCGGCGCAAAGGTCTGGGTCTATACCCCGAAAACTAAACGAGGATTGTGCCGAAAACTGCTGTTCTCCTGGCATGGACCTTACACGATCGTCGAAGAAACATCACCTGTGAATTATGTGCTGCGAGCTGCTGACAATCGTCGCATTGCCACCACGGTCCATGTTTCCCGTATGAAGCCCTATGTTGATCCAGCTTCAAGGCCTATCCGTTGTCCTCCCACCGACATTGACGAATCCTTTTTATTGGAGAGCGAACTCCCTACAGACAGTTTCGCCCCGGACAAGTCTACAACTCCTACCACTGAAGCTTTGCCAAATAATGCTGACTCAGGCCAAGACCATAATCACCTAGACCAAGCTTCTACTGACCAAGACCGCCCAGCGTTACATGATCCTAACGTTTATACTGTTGAAAAGATCGTCCGTCAACGCCTCTATAAAGGAAAACCTCAGTTTGAAGTGAAATGGACAGGATATCGACAAACCAGCTGGGAACCTCTAGAGAACATTCTCGACCCTTCTCTTATTACCAAGTACTACCACGATCATCCACGTGCAAGAAATATCGTACCTCATGCAAGTTCGACCGCTGACCCGGACTCTTCTGACATTCCTGTAATCGCAGCGTTTTCTCCTTGTTTCCGTCAGTCTCCGTCTATCAGCTCTGGTCCAACGGATGACCCCAATTCGTTTTCAGACCAGACAGTAATACCTATGCTTCAACGATCTCGTTTTCTTTCAAGCGCCCATATCCTACGCCTCGCCTTGTTGCTCCTTATGACCACTCATCCAGGCGCCGTCCGTTTCAGTCAATTTGACCCAACAGGCAAACCACTTACCTTTTACCCTGATTCTTTGATGTTGAGCAGCAACCCGCAAGTACTGGCGTTTTACGAGGACACCACTTTGGTCACTTTCCACGTTGATCTCCATCCTACGCGTCTTGGTGCAGTTCCTGTCCTTAACACCACTTGCTCCCCGCGACAGAAGCGTTTTTACGACCAGTTACTTCTTTCAATTCGTTCTATTCAACGGGTTATCCGCCGATTTTCTTCCCTTCAAGGCATCAGTAACGTTATTGAATGCGATTCCTTCCTGCACCGTTATTACTTCTACTTAACCGGGAAAGAATTTCAGTTAAACTGCAAGAACCGCCATTTTGCCAAGTCCCTACAGCAATGCCGTTCTTGGGCTAAAAATTCCTGTCAGACCCAGTCTCTCGACGAACGCCTCTGGTTGCGCCAGCGAAATAAGAGAGAAGCCTGGGCTTGCAGCGCGGGTGTCCTAGGCGCGATAAGGTGGATATGGGAACACACAGGGCACTCATGTTCTGATAATAATATATCTGGCCTTATTCCACTGTTTTTCAAAATGGTTGCTTCAATGTTTACTACACAACGCCTGGTCCACACAGTCTATGGCAAACAAGTCTACCTTATTAAAATGACAGATAAACTAACTACGCGAGTGAACGGCTTATCCGAGACACTTCGCACCGTCGACAAGACCTTTCACGCCTGGCAATCTGAATTTCAAGCTTTTGCAAAAACAGAACAGTGTCACCACGACGCTTCATTGGAATTCCTATCGAAATATACAATAGAAGTTAATCGCGCCCTGACGTCCCTTTACGCCTTGAAGAACTGGACGATTTTGTCCGGCAAACTGAGAAAATTACTAACCACGAGTTGGTTGGTTTCAACGATCTTCCCCGCTCTATTTCAACGGAATTATCAGCTCAACTCTCCGCTATCCCGTCTCTAAAAACTACAATTGAAGCTTTAGACAGTGGTTTTCCTCTTATCATACGCCCGCTGTTGGATTACGACTTCTCAACCAACAATAAATTCAAACTAAATATTTTATTTTCTGTTCCCTCATTAACACCAAACAACAACTTTTGCACAGTACAGTCACTGACACCCTTAAAGTACAATATCAGTGGTGTTTGTTTTACCGGTCCACTTTCCCGCGAAGACGTCATGTTAGTCACGTGCCCCACTCAGCGTTATTTTGTGAACCCAGCTGCCCTTCACAAGTGCTACACTACAAACGAAGTCGTCCTGTGTCCAAAATCTCTTCTCCTTAAAGCTACTCATACAGATTGGCTTGGCATGGCCTGGACGCCACGCTCTCGTTTGACTTTTCAACGCAATCACAAGCGAGCGACCGATTGTAATGGTTTGAAACCGCTTCTACATTTCGGAGCACGTTATTACTTATCGACAACTTTTCACACTATTACTCTACACACAGCAGCTGGAACAATATCACGCGTCTCACTAACACCATTGTCCATTCTCCACGTGCCTTGTAATAGCTCTTTTGAAGATCAAGAAATCGGTCTTGGTAAATGCCCCCCAACCATGGAATTTTCTCTTCCTATTTTTCAGTCGGATCGATTTTCCTACGTCCCTTGGCGACCTGCCACAAACGACACTACATTTCAGTTACATTATACCTCGCTCACAGTTCTGCCCCCATTGTCGTTTGACAATAAAACCTTACACGACCTGGATACCCTTTATTCACAACTCGACGGCCAACTTACTGCACAGCTCCGCGACGTTCACCACAACATCGAAAAGTTAAAACCCGCCACCACTTCGACTCTGAATGATGCCGTCACGTATTTGGCCTTATCTCTAACTTTAATACATTCCGTACTTTTCATTACCTTCTTTTGTTCTCGTCGACGCTGCTTTTCGCCCACAGCACCACCTGAGCTTACACCTATGAACTCTGTTCACACTCCGCTGCAACGCCCCGTGCGGTGTTCCCACAGTTAGACCGCCTCAAAAGAAACCGACCATTTTCATTTCCTTTTCAACTTTATTACTTTTCGCACCTCTCCTCCACCATGCCCATATATACCAGCTACAATTCCCAGTCATCACTCACTCAACAGTTCATTCATCAGTCCATTCATCAGCTTCTGTGATTTTCCTCCAAACGTTATTTCACCATGGCTGATTTCGTCTTTGTTATTGATATAGCCGGTTTTCAACATGGGACGGCCAATTTACCATCAAGCGAGTTTCGATCTCTCCCGTCCGTGAAGGAACCATGGCCACCTTCACTTACGACACCAGTTTCCTGCTCCACCATAGTGATAGTGTCATTCGCACTTACCACTACACCACCAGACACATTCATGGCATTGCCTTAGACGAACCTGGCCTACCCTACAGTCTACGAGTAGAAACCATCAGCACCACTCTGAAACACCATATTTTTGGGGCTTTGCGGCCAATCCCACACGAGTACCAACAGGAACCGCGGATCCTGCTGGTGACAAAAGGGACCGAAAAGATCCGCCTGATCGAAGAACTCGTTCCGGCGGAGGGTTTCTTTAAGAACCTCATTGTCCGCGATCTGGCGGACTACGGTTGCCCACCAGCACCGCGGCTTCTTGGGGGACGCCGCGCAGTCACAGAAACCACAGCAGCCCTATTTTCCGCCTGGTTTGCCGGACGTTTCAGAACATTTATCGCTCCTCTCATTCCACCGGACACAGCACCGTCCTCAGACGAGGATTGGGAATCATAGAACTGTAACAGTCACTTTATTTTTCATTTGCTCTTAATATACTTTTGCTTAGCTTCTTGCCCTTCATTTTGCTTCGCGCTAGCATTCGATAGTTATGTTTTTTTTCTTTTTTGAAAAGCAGGAGGTTTCCGCTTAAGGAGGGGAGTGTCACAGTCAGTATTTCAAAATAAGTTTCAATGTTTTATTCTTATCTTTAAAACGGAACTCAGCTTTATCAGAATTAACATTTCAAGATTTCAAATTTGGTTTTAACGCAATAACTTTCAAATCGCAAAAGCTCTGTAGAGATGAGTGTTTATTCAGCCACATTACATGTTGTTTTATTAACATTCGTTAGCAGTAAGAAGTATTAACCTTAGATGGGAAAAACGAAGCTGCTCAAACACTTGCCTTTTCGGGTTCCTTTTTGTAGTTACTTCGGTGGGTTACAAAGGGAAATAATTTAAACATCCATCTCTGCAATTTCCTACTTGCAGTTAGTTGAACTAACAAACTCTGAAAAGTCGTTGATTGAATGTAAACATAGCCTCTTATTCACATCCTTGATTTCTGCATGTTATTATTGTAAGTACTCAAGTGTTTTAGATACTTTGGTAATTATTTTATGTCGTTACTTTACTCCGAAAGAAGCAATGTTATTGTTCTTGTCTATGGAAACTGTATTTAGTATTTCTGCCGCTCGAATTAGTCTAATACAGTGTATTGATTCCTAATCAGTATTCAAGAGAAAAGCGCGCGGAATACGTAATGACTTTTCATGACACCTGTGTTTACTTAACCTTGAGCGAAATGCTGAGTCGACTTTTCAACGATTGAAATCATCATTTCCTACCTTTGTAAATACTTCATTTACAAGGTTAGATTTTTAATATATTTTTCATCTAGTTATT